CCAAAAGTGATTGAATTGGGTTGAAAATCGCCGCAGGAGAAATGATGATTAGATGATGTGATAGGGTATTGGTACGTCGCACAGGCGCAGTTTCTCTCTTGGTAGAAGCTAAGGCTATTATCGTGTCAAAGCAACGATGGATGTAAATGTATCTTTTCGTGTTATAATGTATTATGCTTGGTTATGTCGTACACTCCGGAATAGCAGATGTATTGTATGAATGAAGATATAGAGTTGAGAAGGGTGGTCGGAAATAATGTGTTTAGATGAGGCGAGGTGGGTGTGAGCGGAACTTAGAGAGAGGCAGCAGATAGATACAGAGACCCAAAAAGTCAAAAAGTGATCGTGTACGGCCCGTGTTCGTAGTTCGCTCGTTCGGTACCCCAGGTTGGTCGCGCCAATTCCAGCCAGGACAGGTAAGATCTTACCCATGTGCATACCAAGCTTCTAGCTTCACATGAAATGACAAACCTAGAGCACAGTCTCTCATACTATCTCGAACTCAAAATCTGCTAGACTTCATCAACTACATTGTGCAAGTAAGCATCCAGATATATCACACGTTGGTAATCATATCAACCATACGATTATCCTGTTCAGCAAACATGGCGGCCAGAAAGGACATGCGAAGAGGTGATCTCAGTATGTATTTGTTTATTGCCAATTCTTGCTATACATCTCATGTTTATATATGTTATCTTACCTCAAAGTACTGACAGTCTCTCACCTCAAGTTATTCCCTATCAAGCTCCAGCTGCAAAAGAATCTCCCAGCGATTTCGGTGGCACCTTAGGTAGCACTCTGCCAATGGCAGCAATGTTCACTCGCAACAAGCTCATCGGATGGTACGTCAATTCAATGGATGAGATTTATATCTATTTCTATGTCGAAGATGATGTAGGAAGGCATATGCTAATTTATCAAAGGGCTTCGGTTCTTTTCGCCATTCAAAATTGGTTAGGCGAATCTCCAGAGACGAGAAAGACCTCCTCCCAACCGGCATACTTCTCAGTGGGAATGTCACGTAAGATACCTTTACTCTCCCACTTTCACATTGGCAGCCCATACTAATCTACTTGTGCTGCAGTGATGGCTCTTGTTATTGTAAGTTCATTCACAAACTCATCATGGAGGTGTGACACTTGGCTAATTTAGGCTCCCCAGACTTATCTTCCAATGTTTCTCCCTCCACCTCCCGGTGCTCCTGTAGCCCAATCGGCATAATGGTCGCAGATTGCGAATGAACCACAGAAGCAACTTATGTATGGGCGATAATCGGTTACGTGGATGGAAGCGCTCATGGGGTGGAGCTCCTTTCGAGAACTTATGGCATGTAGCGCGCATTCGCGGAACGGAGACAAGAATGGGAACGATGATGTCTACAATGAATGGAGATCAGACGAGGATAGATTAGCATGAATGGGCTTGAGAGGAAGCCTGACATTGTAGTCAATGGTGACTTCTTCAAGTATCAATTAACATATTGGTATTGGAGCAAAAGTTGAAGCTTTGGTAGGTGGTAAATACGCAAAGTATACCATTTGCTTGTACATATAATCGACATGGGCTAATTCTAATCTATTTTCTTTTCGCAAGTGTAGGAGTGGTTGTAGGAGAGTGGTTACGTAAAGCTGTTGTGAAGTTGAATCCTTATGTATATCGTATATTGTGTAGGAAGTTGAATCCTTGTGTATATCGTATATTGTGTAGGAAGGAGTAAATGAAACTGTAAGATCTTACAATATTCAACGCATACATAGGTAGGTGGTAGTACAATAGAGACAATGCAGTGTCAAATTTTGGAATTCGATGATAGTTATCTGATAGGGAAATACTTGAGAATGTCCAGATGCATACCTCGATACTTTGTACTATAGAGGTGACATGGTGATACGGTATCAAGCATTCACAACTGCAGGTGCTTTTATCTCTCTCTGTCTACTGTCTCTACGATAGCTACGATGGCTCGACTCGAGAAGACAATACCGAGTACGGCGATGCTGACTAATTACTGGACCCCTGATCGGTCTCAAAAGCGGCAGTGGTCACTTACCAATTATTTACCATTTTGGAAAGAGTCATTGGAGAAAAAGTGTCAGTTGGATGACTCTTTTCCACACTAAGCTTGCCACTTTAACTGTATTGGTACAACACTTACCCAATTTAGTCATTGAGCTTCGCCCCGCCTCTCTTGCCACAAATCACACAACTCCCCCCCGTTTAATTTAAACAACAAAACCGACCGCCTTTCTTACATTACAACACTACATAACCCTTCCAAAACCACCAATATCTAAATCACCCCACCTCGAACTCGAACTCGAAATCAAATCCGTTTACATCCCTTTACAAAGTCTATATCCTTCTATCAACTTTATCAAATAGTATCTCAGTCCCACAGATACCAGGCACACTCGAGTTTATGTCCATCGAAAATCTCAAGACGATCGGTATGCGCCCTTCCTCTCCCCCTTTTACTCTCAGCTTTGAGAAGTAGACATCACGAGAAGACTCCAGCGCATATACCTTCATCCACATACCTACAACTGATGATTCCCAAAATCATCTTTGGCCGCCCTTGGTGATTTCACTAACCATCTCTTATAGACTCCTTCGCTGAAGCCGATGCCGCCGGAGATCCAGGACCAGACCAAGGCTCAGGGGAGACAAAGTCGCCGTTGAACGCGAACGGTTCCTCCCCTATCGCAACATCCAAGCCAGCAAAGTCCGCAAAGGCTGCTCCTGGCGGAACTCAAATTGAGAACTTGAAAGTCTTTGGTGAGGAAATCAATCTATGTTATCGTGGCACATTCTCATTGTCGAATGTCGATGGAATCAATCACATCTCAGCTTGGCTTGTTTGCTCGTTACATGACTTCTTTCAGCATAATTTCTAACAATGGCGCGAATCTAGATCCTTTCGCCGAAGCCGACGAAGAGCCCGGAGACCAAAAGGCCGCAGAATATATCCATATTCGTATCCAACGTATGTCAAGTTTATTTCACACCCCTTAAAACCAGGTCAAAAATATCAAGGGAGGCTTGCATACCAATAACTGACAATAATAATTACAGAGCGTAATGGACGTAAGACTTTGACTACCGTTCAAGGACTTCCAAAGAAATTTGACCAAAAGAAGATTCTTAAGGTTATCAAGAAGAAGTTCGGTAAGTCTCATCATACGAGATGAACGGCGAGGTATCAGGTACTAATGTCGCATGTAACAGCTTGCAATGGCACCATTGTCAACGATGTCATCATGGGTGACGTGATCCAGCTTCAAGGAGACCAGCGCAAAGATGTGCAAGATTTCCTCACTGGTAAAGATGGCTTAGAGCTTGATGCCAAGACCATCAAGGTAAGATAACAACGCTTACGACTTGTCATAACCCTTCTAATCAAATTCTACCTTAGGTCCACGGTTTCTAAAATCGTCAGTCACACGTTACGAGCCATCGCAGCCTTGTAAGCTCCCATCACCATATATGGTTGCCTGCATGCTCAATACATACCATCGCTGCGAGAGACTCTATAAACATGTCGGCGAGATATTCCCAATCATCCCCCGCATTCAACACAGAAAGCGCTGGGCGGTAATAAGGGATGGCTTTGCACGCGAATGTTCCAACTTTGCTATTTTTATTATAGCGGGGTCTTCATTCTCTTTCTTTTTACGCTATTCAGATCAGAATGCTCAGCGCACCTGACTGTAAATTCTATCCGATATGCCTAACTGGCATAGTAAAGATATCAATTCATAAAGGCATATGGGCCCATTATAGTCTTCGTTCTTCATTTGAGTTGCTTGTCTGTGAATAGTGACTATTAAATCTATTGAATGTCTTATACTACACTATCAAGTTCAACCCTATCTTGACATACCCCCAGATCTCTTCCATATGCAGAATCAATGGTAGCGGCGGAAGGTCTGTTCTTGAAAGATACAACTGAGATAATAAACTGACCATGCTAATGAAACTTGCAATTGAAAAGACGGAAATCGATAAGGAAGTCTCCTTCCGTATCGCAAGTCGTGGATGAGTCAAATGGTAGAGAAATGTTAGTGTCTGTATTATGGTCAGAAAATGCGGAAGAGTATCAAGTGACGGCACGTACACTAGCTATACAAATCCAAGCAGGAAGAAGTAAGCGTGGATCTCCTGAACCCCCTGATAGATATAGGATCCACGATGTGGTGTATGCATTTATCAAGTTGATGGTGAGCAGGCGGACAATCGTTGCTGGGTGACAGTTAGTTGAGGGTTTCCATTGTGTTTGTGAAGATGCCCATACCTTGAGGAGTGTAGTTAAGTAACCTGATATGTTACGTGTTTAGTTATTTGAAGTGTTCTAGCTTCGGGTCGTGACTTTACGGAATGAGGGGTGTTGGAAGATTTTACATACCATCTAGACATTAAGCAGTCCGTGAAGAAGAAGGCAAGATAAGCGGACGAGAAACACTTTCGAGCGAATTAGCATTTGTTTTATTTCGGCATACGATATCTTCTGTCACAAAATGGAAGATTTTCGAGTTATCTTGAGAAAATTGTCCATACCCACTGATATCAAAAGTTAGCACTGAAACGACAACGGCACCAGATCTTTCTTTCCGTAAGATAGAAGATTTGCTCACCAGAACAGCCAAAAAGACTTCAACAACCCTGAATCTTTTTTCAATAGTCCACTTTGCTTCGACAGCATTCATTTCATCCCATAGCAACTCTCTCATAAACGTCAACGCACATCGTAACCCCCACCAGATCGCCGGAGCGATACTAAGCAATCGACAAAAGAGGAGCGGAAAATGCCAAACTCTAGCTACGCCAAGAAGTACGGCGACACGAGGATGTAGGACGGAAGTTTTGCCTTCTGGGTCGGCGGGGTGCAGGTTCGGTTTGTAGGGAGGAGTAGATATGGTGGTAGGTGGGATTTCAGAGGGGGACGCAGGAAAAGGGGCTTGGTGCGAACGACGCCGGGTGGAAGCCAGAAGGAGGGGTGTTTACGGCATATGCTGCCGCTTTGCAATAGCTGGGAATGCAAGATATACTTGGGTGAGGGGTTTCCTACTGGAATATTATGTCAGTGGATGGGATAAGGTGTGCGCAGCTATTTTGGGCAAAACAAATCAAAATTTCGTACTCCAAAGATGATTGGGACAAATAGTAGCAATTAGGAGAATAGCCTAAATTTGCTTCAAAATCAATGATAGTTGGAAGTGTCGTAGGTACCCAAGTAGATTCTTCCAAGAAAGTATTACCAGCAAGCAAGGCCATCCAATTTCATGTCTTGTTCAGCCTTGTCGATCTGTCTTCCCAAGACGCACAGCCACATTCAGCCACCAAGGCTATCGTAATATTCTCTTGTTATCAAAAAAGTTACAGCGTCTTGACGGAATGAGGGGTGCAATCTTTACGAGAAACCTCCCACGCAGCTTTCTGCTTTTTGTCTCTCCCCCTCCGAATTGATACGGCTTCGATGGCTCAAGTTCTCCGCAGACATGTCTTCCCTACCCCTCGGAGTCCTTTCTCCCTCTCCAACCCTCGATATTTCTCCATCATAACCCCCCGACAAGCATCTCCCGCCAATCCTGCACAGCACCCCGATCGTAGAATGCGCATGCAAGCTAATATTGGGGGGACGCGAATGGCAACCGACGTTGGCCTTCTACCGAGTACGTCCGTCTCAATTGACTCCTGCACCTGCTGAACCCCCGAGCTAATGAAATCACAGATACTTTTATAGCAGCTAGCAGCCCTTCTCTGTTCAAACACCCCAAAGGACTTTTGAAATTCCAATGGACCAGATTCAAGACCCGATTTTGGGATACCGTCGCCACCACTGCATTTAAATGGATGTCTCCCAAAACCGGGCGTGTACGAAGAAAGGTGCAACTGAAGCGCGGTTCGATAGTCCCCGCAGCCGAAGCTCTGTACAGGGAGATGTACCAAAATTTCGCTGCTGGAGACATTGGACGCTTGCGCAGAATGTGCGCCGATGGACTTTCTGAGAGATTTGCGCAGCGCATAGCTTCGAGGCCTCGGGGGCAAAAGGTTACATGGAACCTTGTGAAGATGAACCGAAGACCTAAGATAATGTCGACCAAGGCCGTCATGATACCCGGAGGCGATGGCAATGTGGTACGACAAGCAGTGGTTAGAGTTTCAAGTAGACAAAAGATGACACTGAAGGATAGTAGAGGAAAAGAGCTGCCGGGGAGCAGTGAGAAAGATATCGTAGAGTATGTGGTTGTGCAGAAGATTTACAGAAACTGGCAAGATACAGAATGGCAGGTCTGGGGTACAACAAGGGGGACTACGTTGAAGGATCTAGAGGAGTGGGAGAAGATGGACTAGGAGTGATGAATGGCGACTTGGAGCTGTACAATATGCATCTGTCTCAGTGTAAAATATTGGTGGGGGTTAGCTACTTGTATTGTACATAAATCCCCCCTTTCAGAGTTCTCACAAGCGACTGGAACACTTGAGACCTCACTCGGGGTGAGCGAGTATGACATATTATGGCTCGCCACAGAGGTCTGTTGGAGGGACGGGAAAGTCACTCGGAGCTAAGCGTATTACTCTTATAAAAGAAGCTGTCACGAGGAACTCGAGTACAATCAAGACAGCAATTCTCTCTAGAAGCATGGCGCAGACAGCTGTGAATCCGGGACGGATGCGAAATCACTTTAGTAACAGCAGAGATTGACCCAGTGGTTCCTATTTCCCAGAATATACGCTTCTTCATTTTCTCCGCCTCTCTACCCCCCTTACACATCCGTCATTGATCCTCTCACAATATCCACACATCCTCCTTCTTAACACCTACCCACCGTTTCTCCGTCCTTCGGTCAGAAATCATCATTTACCACCACGAACTTCCAATGCCTTTCTGTAGCCTTCCAGCCATTCAGCCCTCAGGTATCACACTCTCCCTGCTAGTGACATGATTCTTTTCTATTCCGCAGCCCAAGATTGCCACATCCCTAATCTAATACCACAACATGCCGAAAGCGACTGTTCTGTTCGGCACTTGGATTTGCTTATAGTTTGACAAACGCTTATGGCCTCCGGAATTGCTTAGCTTTCTGTATGATCCTCCCTACCTTTGCCCTGATTGCCTTTCAATACAGGGCTCAAATGAGGAGTACATAGCCTAGTCGTCTGTCCAGAGACCAACTCCCGCAAACTGTGCTGGAAGTCATACAACAGTAAGATGTGATTATAATGCCATTATCTATATACCAACTCAAGGCTTTGCAATGAGCATTAACTTAGTACTTTATTAAATATTTTTTCATAAAAAAATATTAAATCAAAAGATAAATATATATATTCTATGGCACTGCGCTCAAAGCGCTCGTCTGATATTACATCGTCATGTATTTATCATTAGTCACTATTGCATGCATATTATCACTACAAAATCGAGCTACGTTCACAATGGTAATACTTTTATTTCACTCTACCTAAGCTAAGATTTAGCTGATTGATGGTACATGGTTTGTTCAAATCGAAAAGACTCTATCCTATGTCTATCTTGTCCAAAGGAGCAAGAGAATCAATAGGGAGATGGTCACCATATAAATGGCAGACCAGGAGCCACAATGCTCTTTCATGATTGACTAGTAGACAAGAATCCTGCACAACTGTAGATGAAGCCAAATCCCTGCAAAGATGAAGAAATGCCGTAAAACTCCGTGAAATTAGTAGTGGTAAACATCAAGACACAACCAGGTTGCCACCAAAGTTTATGCCGTAAAACCGAGAAAGTAAGAAAGAACATGCTGCCCAGATATCATGAAGATGAACGAGTACCACCGTGGCAGTAACTGCGAATGATAATTCTGATAGAGGGGTTTTGTTAATAGTGGGAAGATCACTCAACAACCGCGGCATGACCACTTGGAGTGGGAGTTGCTGAACGATCATCGTGAGCTTTGTTACCAACATCAACAGGTGAATAAGGGTAGTATGCTTGTTGAGACGAAGCCAACTGATCAGCTGGTGGGCTTTGCATACCCCAGTATGGAGCTGGTGCATATTGTTGGTATGGAGCATAACTGCAGTATGGTGACGGAGCAGCGGGGCTGCCGGTCAAATCAGTTGCCACTGCTGGGTTTCGCATGCCATATCCAGGACTAGCAGGATAGCCTGGGTAGTATGCTGGTGCTGGCGAGTACGATGTAGCACTACTGTAGTAATGGCCTTGACCATCAGTGAAGACAGTTGAGGGAGCAGCATAACCATAGTACGGACTATAAGCAGTGTAACCGTAAGGCGAAGCATAAGCCATTGGAGACATCTGAGCAGATGGGGAGACTTGTTGCTCTACATGTCGATCAACACGAGGAGACTGGAATGATCGGGTGGAAGACAAAGGCTGCGATCTGGAGGATCTACCTCTGCTACCACCATTTTCAGAGTCCTTTTGAGCAACTCGTAGAGACTTTCCACCGAAAGTAAAACCGTTCTATGGCAATATTAGCTGAGTTTAAAAAAGATAAAAGGAATCTCTTGCTTACCTTTGCATTAACAGCATTGACAACTGCAATTGGCGACTTGAACTCGACAAAAGCGAAAGCAAACTTCTCTTCTGCTAAAAACGAGGCGGGTCAGTTTATGGATATTCAGCAAAGAAGGGGGCAACTCACGTTCAAACTTAGATGCGTTCTCTCGTAGACTGATGTCTTGAATATCACCATAGTGCTCAAAGAGGCCTCGAATTTGTTGCTCCGAAGTACCTAATGGAAGGTTGCCAACGAAAATTGAGCGACGATCAACATCATATCTTGCTAAGTATGCCTTGGTAGCATCAACTTCTGCGGCAGGTGGTGACTGCTGAGCAGGTGCTGCAAGGCCTGCAATGGGTTGAAGCTTGTAAAGATCATGGTTGCGGAACGCCTAGAACCAAGTTAGCATGAACACCAAGTGTGTGAAGCATAAAACTTGGACTTACAGATTGAGCATCTTGACCTTCATCGTACATTTCGAACTGAACGATGACGCCTTCGTTGAGGTTGAGTGCAGTACGCTCTACGTGAGAAGCAGTGTAACAAAGTTCAATCTTGCCAAAGCGCTTAAGAAGATCTCTGGCTTCACTTGGAGTGACGACCGGGCCATACTTGCGTTCAATGAAGAAGAGACCTGAAAAGCGTTAGTACGAACAACGTTATATAGAACGACCAACTTACGATGTGCCTTGGCCTTTTCGCAGCGACATGGACGGCCTTTGATCAAACGACCTCTGCCTTCCTTGATAGCTCTCTCAGCATGTTCTTGCTTCTAGTAATAGTCAGATACAAAGAGAAGAAGCACATCATGATAATAACTTACAGTATATTGGCAAAATGCGAAAGGCATATGCTTGTTATCACGGCGAATCTTGACGTAGACAGGACCATATTCGCGGAAGACTTGAGTGACAGCCATTTGAAGAGAGTCTTCATTTTTGGATTGAAGAAGACTGCGAAAGGTTAGTATCAATCACCTAGGAAAATTGTGAAGGCAAAAGAAACACCAAAGGAAAGAAGGCAGAAGACTTACTTTGCAACGAAAACACAACAAGAAGGGGGGTAGACAGCTTGTGCATCCTCAGCCTTGACAACAGTGTATCCACTAAGTCTGTTACCTGCAGCATCGGTTCCTTCAGAGACGTGCTCTTGAACATGAAAGGAGAGCTTGCGCTTGGTTTCACCGTAGTTGGTGTCAACAGCACCAGCGTGGCTTGACTTGGACTTTGATGATGACAACTCGGAACTGTTGCTTGAGCTTCTTGAGCGCCAAGGACCATGAATATCTCTCTGAGAATGTCTTGGAGCCTTGGGAGTATGCTGATCATGGTTGCGATACTTTGAGCCATTCTTGCTTGGTGATTGAAATGGATCATCAGCATTACTCTGAGAGCCATTACGAACAAATGGTGGTGAGTAACTGGAAATATTAGTAGATGAAGAATTAGAAGGCATGTGAGTTTGGGGACTTACAGATTGGAGTTTCTGGAACCACTGGTAGAGTGGTGACCGGAAGATCTGACATTGTCTCCAACATCACTATGATCATCAATGCTAAGACGAGCAACGTTGGTAAGAAGTGCCCCTTTGAAAACATGTTAGCAAGAGTATGTGAATGATTGAATCAAGACGAAAGGATTGATGATGATGATGATGAAGAACAATGCCAGGATGGCAGATGTAAATGAAAAAACAGTATGCAAATATAGCGTATGCATGGTTCATATAATTCGGCAACCCTCTTGAGCAAAGATGTATTGGATGCACTCATGATGGTGCGAATTGTGGTATAAAAACATGAAGGGGAGGATGGTGTCGTGCAAAAGTGAAAAAATGCATGGTGCGACATTGAAGGAGCATGTTTGGTGAAGGGGAAGAGAGTAGAAAAGGAGGCGAGGGGAGAGAAGAAACACGTACCATCATTGTCAGGAGTCAAAGGAATACCAGAATCACTGGCAGCAGAACTACCATATGTGCTAGCAGGCGACGGCTCAATCTGAGAAGAAAGTGCAGAATGCGGACCAGACGTATCGTAACTTGAACCGGAGGTGGATGAGGTTGAGTGCATACCAAGGGCATGGCCACCACCAGTTGAAGAGGGAGTAGCAGGCGACATGATTAAATGGAGCTTGAATACCGAGAAGAAGAAAGTGTAGGAATTATGAATTGAAAAGTAAAAGTATGACAAGCGTTGTGCAGATGTAGCTTAACAATTGTGCTCTGTTGCGGTCAACAGGCCGGATAGAAATTGTACAGAAATCGGCGAAAGAGGAAGGAGAAAAGAGGAATGGAGGAAAGAAGATTGTCGGAAGGGAGAAGAGATGAAGAGATTGTATGGAAAGAGTCGAAATGAAGGAGGAAACAAGAGAAAAGGGGGGAAACAATGGTATATGTGGAAAAAGTGTGTTGTTTTTGGGAAGAGGAAAGTATCAACAGATTCACAAATGAAGCTTTATTTATATTGGATTTCTAGAAAGTGCGATGGGCTACAATTAAGCGGACACAAGTACCTGGATAGATGGATTATGGATATAACGGCCCGAGTTGGGATGGAAGGAAAGAGTGAGAAGGGCGAAAAAGGCGAAAAAGGCGAAAAGGGCCAAACGGGAATGAGACGGAAATATCGTCCCAAGGGAATCCTTGAAAGGGGAAGGAACGATGAGCCGGGAATAAATAAGGGTGAGGAGGGAGTGAGGAGGGAGTGAGGAGTGAGTGAGGAGGGAGTGAGGAGTGAGTGCCTACCTACCTAGTACTTAATACCTACAAAACACCCAGACTTGATACAAAGCATTCATTCCTCCCTACACCTACTTACTTTGACGGATCATTGATCAAAGAAATGATTCTTCATCTTGATCTCACAGTACATTGATGAGACCGGAGCAACTTGAGTCCCTCATAAGTAGGGATGTATCGATAGTTCCCAAGTTTCCTTCCCTTTCAAATGGACTACTAAATAAGACTTGAATGAATACTTCTTAGCAAATGATTGATTGGTTCTGTACCGGTATTGATATTGACGTTGGTAATGATAACGATGATGATCTCCCATAGTGACTTTGGTATAATAGTTGGAAACTCCTATAGGAAATCTATTCTTAATCCTCTTGTAACATTATTTCTATTCTCACTTCCTTACCTACCTATCGAGGTAGATTAAACAATAATTCAATCAATCCATATTGACACGGAACGCATAAACATCTAGGTACTTGTAGGTAGCAAATTCATATATACCATGAAATCTTGAGGCTCTTCATCTTCGTGGGGAAGTGGTTCCGTCTCAATGCGGGGCTCGATTCCGCGGGAAGCGTCTCAAGATCGAAATCGAGATTGCCATCGGTAGCTTGGAACTCCTCATTGATCTCCGCCAACAACTCTACGTTTTGAATTGGATACTACCTAGGTACCTAGTGGTACCTGGTATGTATGAAGCCATTGATTCTCTGACTACAAATTTTAAGATCATGCCATGTCAATTGTGCCCCCCCAAAAAGCAATTCAACTCAATTGCATCAGAATACTTTGCGGCTCTAGATACCGTGGGAATTGCATCGAATTCATTAAGGGGAAAAAATAAGAAGACTTTTGACCTTGGGTTTTTTCTTCTCTCTCAGTAAAAGAATGATGCCTTGATCATTCTTGAGAGCTGTCTACCTAGCATTGTATTGAAGTTGTTATCTACAAAGTACCTAGTGCTTACTTGGTAGATGTTGATTTCTTCATATGCATTTGCCTCTGAAAATAATTGACTACAGTGGACTTCCTACAGTGGTCATTTCCTCTCCCAAGAAATCACAACAGAGTACAGGTAATTCAAGACTTGTATTTAGATCAGCATGATATTGTTAAGAGAGCCATATTATCTAAGAGCATCTCCGGGGGGTATACCTCATTGCTGTCTATGTATTCATATGTAGTACGTTCATTTAGACTCGTCTTCCTTGAGAGCATCTGCCCATTTTCTGCCGGTCAATTTCTCAAATGCTTCGCGGTACTTCTCAGCTGTTTGCGATTTGATATCCTCTGGCATTGCAACTCCCTGTTTGCCCTTGAGGCCCTCGGCCGTCAACCAATTCCTCAAGAATTGTTTATCATAGCTTTCTTGTTCCTTTCCAACTTCGTATTTGGACGCAGGCCAGAATCTACTCGAGTCGGGTGTCAAAACCTCATCTACAAGAACGACTTCGTCGGTTTCCTCGTCCAATCCAAACTCAAATTTGGTGTCCGCAATAATAATGCCACGTTCTGCAGCATAATCCCGAGCAGTAGTGTATAGCTTGATTGCCAAATCTTCGATGCGCTGCGCATACTTCTCACCTACAATCTTGGCTGCCTCTGAAGGATGGATGTTTTCATCATTTTGGCCAGCTTCGGCTTTGGTAGAAGGTGTATAGATAGCTCCTTGGGGGAAAGCCTGGGAATTATGCAAGCCTGCAGCTATTTGAATGCCGTGGACAGTAGATGACTTTTGATACTCTTTCCAGGCGGAACCAGTAATGTAACCACGTACGATGGCCTCGATGGGGAAAATTTTGAGCTTACGTACTTGCATAGATCGGTTTCGGAGAAGTGAGTGTTGGGATGAGGAGATGGAGGAGGGGAGGGAGAGAGTCAGGAAGTGAGTTTTGAGATTAGGGATTAGACCTGTGAGGACCTCAAACCAATGCGCGGAAAGGAGAGTGAGAAGTGCGCCTTTGGAGGGGATACCCTATATAAATCATTAGCTCTGGTCCTTGAGTACGAGAAGGAAAGTATACATTTTCCATAATCACGTCATAAGCTGAAATGCGATCGGATGCAACGAACAGGAGGGTCTTCTCATCAATCTCATAAAGATTTCGAACTTTCCCTTCCGCGATCTTTGTGAGACCATCAAGGGTCAATGTGGTAAGAGCTGAGTCTGTCATTGTTGGATGATCTTGAGTAAGATTGTTTATTGTTGAACGTTGTTGGATTTGTTATGATGTAGTTGTGTTATGTAAAGTTTAATAAGTATTTCTACTGACTCAATTCATATTTATAAATTTTATTGAAATGCCCCTCCTGCTCCGAAGTTACTCCGAGTGTAGCAGTAGGACAACCAGCTAGCACGTGCACTTAAAAGCAACAACCCAAATTAACCATGCTCGAGCCATGAGAGATAATCAACGGCTGATCATCGGGAGGGGAGCTTGGGAGCAAATGCTTTATTGTACAACCTAGCCTAGGTAATTGCCATATATAGGCCATATGCACAACAATACACTACTCAACTTACTTCAACTGCAAGCATCCAGTATACTACTACTACTACTACTTGACACATATAGGGTTCTTCGAGCACATTTGACAATCCCATTCTTTGTTGATCATACATAAACAATATCAAAAACCTTCATCATGAGGGTCACTCCTCCTCTTTCCAAGGGCTTCTTTGGTCGAAGTGTAGATGAGTTTAAACGTTTATCAATAAGTGGTAAATCTTCCAGATAGCTCAACTCTCAAATATAGGTAAACTTACTTAACTTAATTTCTATAGCACTCACCGCAGAAGGCACAAGAAGAGCTACATCTCCATTACATCTCGCAAATTTCCACAATCCCGAATCCCTAAAGCGCTGTAAAGCCTTCTCTGATGCTGATATGGGAGGCTTTTCAAAAGTGCATTTCGATTGGGTACCCCCTTCTGAGAACGCAAAGCCTAGCTCTTCCGAAAACAAGAATGGGCATGTCAAATTCCATGGGAACATTTCGATAGACCTACCCCCGAACAGACCTCAAATCCAGCGCAGTGGCTATGCGGCTTGGAGAACTCTCGATCAGCCATCGACGATATTTGGGAAATCACTATGGAACATAGATGCGTATGGTTTGCTTGCCCTACGTATAAAAAGTGACGGGAGGAAGTATTTTGTGAACATACAAACGGAATCAATTGTGCCTACGGATATACATCAACACAGACTATATGCGCGAAGCCCAGGAGAGTGGGAAACAGTTTTAATTAAGTGGAATGAGTTTGTCCGGACGAACCATGGTGTTGTCGTAGAACCACAAGGTGAAATGTTGAGACAAAAGGTACGGACCGTAGGGATAGGATTAATTGATAGAGTTCCTGGTGATTTCCAGCTTTGTGTGGAAAGGATTTGGGCCACCAATGGATTGAGTGAAGCGGATCTCGAAGAGGATGGCAGAAAGGAAGAAGGTCAATTGAAGAGCAAACATGGCGAGAAAATCAGATGGGGTGAAGATAAACTTGATAAGACTCCTTCATGACCAATTTTATAATCAATTTAATGGATTTGATCGACTTCAGATTGATCTGGCTCATTATATCCACCGGAGCTGGAGCTTCTACTGCATCTACGCAATGACGTCCCTACCAAATGTCGTTGCTTTGCGCGTATACTACTAGGTTGTGAATTGAATCTACCCAATTGTCCAATAAAAACTTTTAATGATCTCCAAATTATTCACCCATGAATGTGGTTTTCACGTAGCAACAAACCGTACAATAGTTGTGCTATTTGTAAATCATTTGGAGTGTGTACTCTAGCTAGCCCACCCAGCAAGATCTTGCGACAACCGCGTTCGACGCGTCTTCCCTCCTTCCTCAAACCGTAACAATAACTGTATCCCCAAATACAGATTCAAGTCTCTGTTCTCTTGATATTTACTTGATATCATAATTTTGTACTTCCAGTGGGATGTACTTATCAAATATTGGCCTTTCAATGTGCAAAGTAACCGTCGGATTATTTTGACCATGACACGCTATTTGACACCTTCCAAAATCGGTTTGCTCATACTCATAGAGCTATATACAGATGGCGTTGTCTCAACATCTTCCACAATATCTATACTTTCTTTTGTTCTTGCACAGTTGCTACCATCAAGCTCGGTCAAGCAAGTAGGAAGAGCTTCTACCCCACAATATCCAGTCCTCGATTTAGAAGCCTTCGAGACTTTACTCAAGCAACACAGCGCAGCTTCCGGGCATCCAGGAAGGTCGTTGTGGGATCACTTTCTTGCAAAGCTTTGGAAGGTCGACAGTCTAGATGCCTTGCATGAATTTTTTGCGAGGCTGAACAATCTCTTGGCCAAGTCCCGGGAGGACATTAAGAAGGATGGTGAAATGGGGATTCCTCCACCTTCAGGGGATATGATATTATTGTCTCGTATATCACCGTTCGGTAGCTTCTTACGAAAAGCTAAGATTGAGTTTGAACGATTAAAGTTCGGCGATGTGCTACAGTTATGGACGACTTTCATGAGATGGAGGCAGCCGTCAAAGGCATACTGGGCTAGGAGAGGGCGCGTGGTTGGCATCTGGGCTGGCGATAGAGTGCTCACAGAAGGAGAGGAAGACTGGGGGCTTGAGGAGACCGAAACCTTGGCTCACATAGCTTATGGTGGTCTGGAGGAGGAAAACGCCGCTGGGTCGGTCAGTACTGATGATGTGGAAAAGCTTCTCGAATTCCACGTGGAGCAGATGCAGAGTAAGTTTTTGGGATTAATTATCTGAGTATTTCTAATCGTTTTCCAGAACTGGGTACAAGAATGTCAATAGAGGTGAAATCTAAGCTCAAGTCCCTCCTGGATGATAGTATAATCACGCCCAGTTTATCTCACTACCTGACGTGAGTACAACACAACCCCAATTTTCAGTATAAGCTAATAGCCTGTTAGCTTTCTAGATGCATGGAGATCTGGCGACTACCCTTCGTCCTTCGATAGCCTTCATCGCTATTTCGACTACACGATGCAAAATCGAGACCGATTGTTTTACCAATATGCCCTCATGAATCTTGCAGTTCTTCAAGCTGATTTCGAATGTTATGATGAGGCAGTAGCCGCGATGCTGGAAACTGTCTCTACCGCAAGAGAGAACAAGGACATGGCATGTCTGAATTTTGCTCTGAACTGGTTATATCATTTTGGAAAGGCACATCCAAACATCATTGAAGGGTCTGGCTCAACGAGTATGCTAGGTGTTGAGAAAGAGGGGCTTGCGTTCCTACGGATCAAGGCTAAAGAGAGTGGTATGTGGACACTCTGGAGCTCTTCACTGCTCAGTGAGGCAAAGTTGACACTGTCGAATGGCGAGAGTGTGGCGAGCGCTTTTGAGGGCATACTTAAGAGTTCTCATCTGGTAACGGAGAAAGGTATGAAGAGTATGATGGGGCCACAAACGGCTATGCAGTCTTCTTTGTGGGGTCGCCTAGGACTGGTTTGTCTGTCCAAGCAGTATAGTGAGATATTTCTCCGATGTCATGCTAAGTACGGCCTGTTTGATGATACATTGAGGTTTACCTGCCGGATAGCACATTATCTAATGGAACGAGGTTCCTATGACCAAGCAGCAGAGCGGCTAGAGGGTTTAGATTCTAACTCTTTGCGTTCATGGAAGGCCAATCAGTACTGGCTGAGGTATCGTGGAATTTTACGTCTTAGGAATGATCTCTATACCAACAATCTGGAGGGAGCTGATCACATTCTATCCCAGCTACTTCAATGCGACGGTCTCGAAGCGGACTCGGATCTCTTCTTTGAGATCAGCACCCTTCACATTGACTACCTTGTTCGTCGAGCAGACTTTGGCGCTGCATTGTCAAAACTGGAGCAACTAGCCTCTTCGCTAAAGGAACACGGAGATGATATCAACCTGCGAGTTAAGATACTGACGATGAAAGCCCTTTTACAAAGCAGAACAGGTCGTCCAGAGAAAGGCTTTTCTGTTGCGGTTCGTGCAGCAAGTATAGCATGGCGAGCACGCTTGATGCCAGCGCTTTGGGCCGCAATGGGAGCTGTGGCCAATATTCTGGTCGCACTTTCTGAGTTTCAAGCTGCCTGTCAAATCGTCATCGCCATCATTCCTCGAGCATTGGAATGCGAGAATTGTTCACTTAGCGCTCAGCTCTATTCTTGTCTTGCAGAGTCCTTCATGGGATTGGCAGGACAAGCAGCAGCAGGTGATCCAAGAAGAACCGAGAATTTAACAAAATCCTTGGACTTCCTTGATAGGGCCTTCAAGGAATTCTGTGCTATCGGGGATATCAATGGGCAATGTGAGTCACGGGCTAAGAAAGCAATGATTATGATGGCTATGGGAGACAAAGCATTGGCAAATGATTATGCTTCATCATTCTTGGACCTCGAGCAGCAGAGAACTGCGGTGCATATCTAAAGTATGTTTGAGTTCATACATCACCAAGTCAAGCGTGGATAGATAAGGAGCTTGAGGTAGAAAAAGTCATGATGCAAATGGTAATGGGAAGTATTGTTACGATCAAAAAGCTAGACTACATCTAATGAATGCCATTCTATGTTCAACCTCCCGTCTTCCCGAAGACCCCCCATTGTCCAGTGAAGTAACAGAGCAAGCACCAATTCCACACTGATCATTAAATCTACTCCTTCTTGTGGTAGTTGACCTTCTCGTTCCAGCTATCATGCATTATTAGTATTAATCTCGTACAGTCTGATGATGCGGTCCACTAGAGCTCGCTTTCTCGGAATAGATTCAGTAAAAACTTACAAAAGTGTCTACGAATACAATTAGTAACAAATCTTGCAAAATTACAAAGGGATTCAACTTACCTTGTCTCCGTCACCCCAGAAGAAGTTCTTAGTTCTCATGTTTTGATATGGGTATTCAGGTCTCTCCTCCAAAGGCTCCATGTGATCCCAATGAGCCCAATGCTCATCCCACAAGATCTTAGCATTGACACTTGCGATGATCAAGCAAGGAATCGTAGCACTACCCCAATAATCAGCCTTAATTTCCTTCCTGCCTTATGATTCCCAACCAGTCTCCCATCCCCCGCACTTGTCCATGTGGTGTATAGCTTACTAGATTGACAACTTCCTCCAGAGATCTGCGGGTTCTGTTAGTATTGCCGCAATTGAATTCCGCAAAATCTTAGGAGGCAGTGTTTACGTACCACTGGTAGCGGCAGCATGGTCCTTGACAGCCTGACGCTCACGGTTGAAAGCGTTGTTCTCGGCGCCGGTGAAAGTGCTCTCGCTGCTGGCAAAGCGTCTTTGGAATGGGGTTCGGATAGATTGAGGGCGGGCGACGCGCTGGGCGGCTGCTCGGGTTGCTCGTGCAGAGAACATGTTTGTTGTTTGGTGGTTGCGATTGTGTCTAGGTTGTAGTGTGGTTATGCGCCGCGACGCTGTAGAATTATCGTATGTTGCTGCCAATTTGAGTATCTCCACCTTGGAAACGAGAACTTGCCGTTGATGCCTAAGGCATCTATTCGGTCATCGGGAATCGCCCGATTCGGTAGATAGCTTTGGGTTACTGTCACGTGGAGACGTGAACCTTATGCAGATGCACATGCCGGTGAGATTTATTGTTGCGCGAAGTTCTGGTTAAGTCAGGATGAAGTAATGTAAATAAATAGTCTTTGTGCCTCTCTTAACTGTGCGTCGTTCACCGGGAATCATCATATTTGATTCAATTCTTGGGAGATGCATTTGCGAATTACGTATCGAGATTCTCTATCTGGACCCTGGAGGCTGCTTCTTCAGCTCCCTCAAATCGACACGGAAAGAAACGATTAATGCAAACGACAGATAGCAATTATGGACCAAGTCAATGATAGCAATCATGGGCTGAGAATTACAACTTGGAATGGTAAGCGCGTGTGATATGGTTCACGAATATGCATCACTAACAAAAGCACAGTTAATGGTATCAGGTTGGTGATTTGCAGCTTCGAAAAATAATTGATTTATATGCTGTAAACTGACATTAAAAACTGAGTAGAAATCCATTTGGTTATCAACCATGGCGAGAGAAGAGGACCTTTTCTGTGAGTAGTCATGAATGAATCCGTTGTGTAAATGCACTCTAATTTATGTGCAAGGCAATGTTCGATATCCTCGAAACTGATATTTTAGTGATGCAAGAAACCAAAATTCAGCGGAAAGATCTCAGAGATGATATGGTTTTAGTGCCAGGTTGGGACGTCTACTTCAGTCTTCCAAAGTACAAGAAAGGTATGCTGATTTTCTTACTTTTTGGATTTGTACTCACATTATGACATAAGGATATTCTGGAGTTGCCATCTATACAAGAAACTCAGTGTGCGCTCCAATACGTGCTGAGGAGGGTATCACGGGAGTTTTAACTCCTCCTAACTCCACAACCAGCTTCCGTGACCTCCCAAAGGATCAGCAGATCGGAGGATATCCCACAGGCGCTCAACTCCAGGACTACTTCCTCGATGCCGCAACTCTGGATTCGGAGGGAAGATGTGTTATCCTAGAATTCCCTGCTTTTATCCTCATTGGTGTATATTGCCCTGCGAACCGTGATGAAACTCGTGATGAGTTCCGCATTGGCTTCTTGAATGCTCTCGATACGCGAGTACGCAATCTTGTAGCACTAGGAAAGAGTGTTTTCCTGACTGGGGACCTTAATATTATCAGAGAGGAAATCGATACAGCCAATGCAGAGGAGAAATTGAAGAAAGAAGGGTTAACAGTGGAAGAATACATATCGACACCTGCTCGCCGACTATTCAATCATTTGCTCATCGGAGGAAAGGTAATCGGAGACAGAGATGAAGGAAAAGAGCCACAAGTCATGTGGGATATATGCCGCGGCTTTCATCCTACACGGAAGGGAATGTTTACCTGCTGGGATCAAAAAATGAACGCCAGACCTGGAAACTTTGGCTCAAGGATCGATTACGTTCTATGTAGCGAGGATAGGAAGAATTGGTTTCAAGATTCAAATATTCAGGAGGGACTCATGGGCTCGGACCACTGTCCCGTTTTCGCTACCTTGAAGCCTATAGTGGAGTTAGATGGTGTCGAGATCGATATCCGCGATGTAATGAGTAAGAATATGTTTAAGAATGGAGTCAGAGTGCGGGAGTGGTCGATGAAGGATCTACTGCCAACCTCTGCCAAACTAATTCCAGAATTCGATCGACGGCAGAGTATTCGTGACATGTTCACCAGAAAGTCTACCAGCTCGACGACTGCTGCTTTGCCCTCGAATTCGTCCAACGCTGGAAATGGACTAGAGTCAGCACAAACGGATGGGTCATTCAGCATATCCAATAATGTTAATCCATCCAGAGCATCTCCTACTAAAATAACTTCTCCGGCAAAGCCCTTCATATCATCATCCTCGCCTACACCAGTCAAGAGGTCCGCCGATGCATTGCAACTAGTGGCACAACCATCAAAGCGCGGTAAGGTCGAAGCCAAAACAAACAAAGGACCTTCTAGTGGAAGGGGGAATAAGGGGCAATTGGGAAAAGGCCAAAGTAGTTTGATGGGGTTCTTTAAATCTAAGACGCCGCAGACAGCACAGACAGCACATCAGGCAGATTCTCCTTCCTTGTCTACGAGTGATTCTTCAACAGCAACACCTGCAGAATCGGTGGGTCAGGAGTGTCTTGCTGGCTGTAGTACAGAAAATGACTCGCCCCCTAAGGCCGAGGGAAACACAAATAACGACGAGGAAATTGAGAAGTCATATGAATCACGACAGGACAAAGAAGTACACGACCCCATAGTAGCGAAAGAATCTTGGTCCAAGCTATTGACTAAACGCATTCCACCCAAATGCGAACACAAGGAGCCATGTATCAGCCATATAACGAAGAAGCAAGGCGTCAACCGTGGTAGATCTTTCTACATGTGTCCTCGACCTCTGGGACCATCAGGTCAGCAAGAAAAGAACACAGAGTGGCGCTGTAGTACATTTATTTGGAGTAGTGAGTGGACCGGGAAGGAAACTTGAGACTGGAAACTTAAGATTAGAACCAGCGCAGAAGGCAGGAAGTAAGAATGAACAAGTGGCGGGAAGAAGGAGATGTTTACCTTACCCGTCATACCAATAGTATAATAACATAATTCCAGAATACCTATGTACACACACATGCCGGTCTACTATGGTATCTACGTTTTATAATTAGTCACAAAAGGGATGCAAGAAGCAGACATTGTATAAGATGACAGTGATACATATCAAAGAACACCCATTTCACATAAATCTTTGTATATCCTAATGTCAACTTCTACTCACCATTATCTGCTTTCATAAATTTGATGCCTTAGCCTTGTCTAAGAGTGAGCCCTTCAGCATATGCCCGAGGTTCCCGAGATGAGTCTTCACTCCTTAGAAAAGAAAGATTCTCGCTTCTCAGATTCACTGAGTCCACAATTCACTATCATGCCAGTTTACTTGATACTAATTCACTTTGGGAACAATTCACTTCGATAGCCATTCGCTTGAATAAGCATTCACTTTAATATCCATCCTTCACAACGACCAGCCCCCTTAGTTGCGAGAACTGGGATTAGGGCAAGCGAAGAATATTCACCAGCCCCCCCAAAACTCACACACAATCGCACAAATTGGATTTCCACGGAAAAACAAAGTGAATTGTAATTATTAGAATGAAGTTGAAGGAGAAAATATCGAGATTTTCGTAACGATGAATGGTGTCATCGAAGGCACATAGAAAAAAAGCACAATTCATTGTCACAGAGCAGGAAGCAATCAGAGGGTATCATGAAGTTTGAAAAGTTTTTTCTGTATATATATAATATAGACCATGTAAACTGTATGCGAAATCTAAGTACAGCTTTTAGTTCCAACCATTCACCAAATCCGTATTCACAATCCATCCAATGAATTGGATTCCATTCCTTTCCATTCCATAGGCTCGATCTCAGATGAAAAAACTGATATGGCAGCTTGTGGACCTGAGAAACTATATAAACATGAAAGAAAAGAAGAAGAAGAAAAAATATGTACATGCAATGAGTGCAGTAATGATCGCAATAATGATAGGACATCAAAGTCCAAATTCCAACTCCTTTCCATAAATCGTAAGTCGTGAAACACAGGTTAAGCCATGAAGAACTGACGAGTGCGTGATATTTGGGACCGTTTGCCAAGCTTCTGTTGGCGCGAAGTTCATGCCCATTGGTTCGTCACCATATGAAAGTCTGCAGTGCTCAGGCTGAAGCTGTTGCTCTAGTAAGTTGGAGTGATCCATGTGAATATTGAGCCCAAACGTGCTCATTGTACCCATACTAGTATCATCAGTAGAGTCGTGATTTAAGAGTGGATAGTTGATGGAGGATGCGGATTAATTACTCGGCAGTAGAGTTTCTGGAGTTTCTTTTCTTGGACAGTAGATGCTGTTGGACACGTGATAGTTCTGGTCGCCCTGCGATCAACAAGGTATTTTGGCGAGAATCTCGTAACAACAAATTCGACATGTTGAAACACAGGAACGCAACATTCAGACACCTCACGATAACTACAACAGCTCCAATATGAAAGCTAGAACTCGTCTAAGAATTCGACAAGAAGGCTACAGGAGGAAACGGAGTTCACGGGGCAACAAACATCGATCTGCTCGTGAAGTTCCTCTCAATGCTATCAGGAATTGGAAACGTGATAGGATCGACACGCAGGATCCATCATATTTTTCGGACGCAACATTTGTGGAGCTAGCTGCGGCACTAGGGAAAGGCGAACTGCTGACTGGTATGAAAATGGGAGGTAGTTCGGTATCTTTAACTTACAGTCGTTACAATCCAGGAGTTGAAGCAAGTAAGTCAATATGAGCAACTAAATTAAATATATGCAGTTTTCTAATCGTGGCAGCTGCTAATGCTCCTGGAACGCCGTGCGACCCTGCATTTCTAGATGCCCTTGTCACAGACTGCTGCGTCTTGATTTGGGAATTCTGCAGCCTCTACAGACATACAGACTTTAACTCAATGCACGATCTATTACCTACCAAGTATGCCGACATTTTCCATGATCTTAACACCGTATTTGGCCAATGTCGAAGACTGAAAAAGTCGCCCGAACTCTTCTCAACTTTGGCACAAGAGCGTCAATTCATTGCAAAGATGAGTCGTATAGCAGAAATTGTAGATCATCTGCGAGAGGTCATCGTCTTAAAAAATGACGGTAAACTCGCCCAAAACAAAATGCGAGAGAAGGAGAAAGAACTTGCCAGAGATCTACCGTTCTTTTATCCGGGGCGGGCAGATGGAAAGCACCCTTGGACCAGATGGCTAGAGAATTCTTCACCTGTGATGCCCCCGGGTTGGGTTGGAATTCAGCAGAAAATTCCACATATTGGCGACAATATAATTCGAAGAATCACGACCATGTATGAACTTTACGAAAGGCAATTTAGAGTTGTGAGTATATCAGATGTGTCCTATATTCATGAAGGAGATGAAAAAGCTAATGAAGATTCCACAGGAGAAACTGATTGACAGCAAAGTGAACGTAAGTCTAATAGTGAGATGCTTCTCGACATCCAAGAGGGACACTAAAATTTCATCTAGGACACCTTGGATGATTTTCCTGCCCCTGGAGAAGCATTCGAGCACATGAACTACTCGAGATTCTCAACTCTGGCTGTGAACTACGTGCAGTATAAGACTGGAGACAGGCCGGCGACTGACAAAAATGGGATGTTGAGGATTGAGAAGTTAACAGAAGCTGTTCAACGAAGCTTTAGATGGCAGGAAAATCCAGTAATAACCGGGAATGCAAATGTACCCTACCATCGATTTATGATGGGCTACAAGATAGAAGTACTAAATGAGGAAGTTTCTTAGCTAGTTCGATGAGAATCAAATGCTTCCAACACATCTAAAACAAAACACTTCACTTTCGCATGTCTTGAACTATGCAAACACGTGATAGATACTCGGCGTTTGTAATGTGAAAGGAATTAGAGATTCTTTGTTTCTTCACTTTTCACTAACATCAGCTTTTTTTTGAGACAGATCTGTTAGCCGACTCCAGCCACACAGAAACCATATAAGTAAGATATCTCCTGTAGCAATATCCTAGGAATCTTTCTGCAACTTCACAACAACTTTTTATCAATTATCGAACAAAGTTTCGATGACCCTTTAATCATATTTCTTTGCACAAGCTGTACTTCAATTGAGGACCACCACACATACATCATGACGGCTCCCTTTAAGACCACGATGAAGCACACCCACAAGCGACAGCAAAGAAAGTTAACGACTACTCAATACCGCGTTTCAAAACCAGCGATAAAATGCAGAAGAGCCAACGATGCCATGCAGTCACTGACATATCATTCAGCTCCATTCATTTCTGAGGCTGAGGGTGGCATGCAGCATGTTGCAATGAATGAGAGACAAACCGCATGGGTCGAGGCGCCTCGGCGCTCGGTCAATTCATATATATTGTTTCGTAGTAAGTCCCCCGACCAATAAGTGTTTTTCAAAAACCTAATATCTGCTTAGCTTTCTACATGATTTTGACAGTGCTTGGGAATATTCCGCAGAAGTACAAGTCTGCTATCCTCAGTGTCTTGTGGGGTCGTGATCCTTTTCACGCCAAATGGTCCATCATTGCTCGCGCTTATACTCTCATGAGAGATGCTGGTGTAAAAAGATCCGTATCCGAGTTTCTTGCTCTCGTGTGTCCCCACATTGGTATTCTAACTGTCGATGATTATCTTTCCGACCTCAACTGGACATTCGAAACCAATGAAGAAGGGACTGTCTGTCTTCGCCAAACTTCTCCACCAGAGATCGGTTCGTTTCCACCGCACATCGCCAGAACTCTCTTAACAGATTTGGACATCATCACCTTTTGTGGTGCTCAAGGCTACTTGCCAGCTGCGACTGCTGCCAGCATTGTTCAAGGTTGGAACCGTGTGCATCCAATGGCCAACATGGCTATTCAAGGCACTCTCCCTGTTACACAGCACATTGCTTCCACTCAGAATGCATATGGTGCCTGGGAAATGCCTTCCGGTGTCATCGTTGCTCCACCTCCGAAGCCAGCTTTCGATCAGCCTCTTGCTTACACTCCACCTGCTCTAATACCAGGTGCAACAGGATCATTAACTGGCTCACTACTACCTCCTCCTCCTTGGTCCACTGGTATGATGGCTGGATACTGGGGTCACGACAGTGGTACTATCGACCTCAGTGCACTTGACACCCGATTCGACCAATTCAACCCTACCTCTCTCGCTGATGCAGGCGGCCTCTATATGCCTGACGATGCCCCTTCACCACCACGTGAGTTAATTCGACCAGGCACTTGAAATTACCATACTGACTGCCTTAGTCTTTGCAGACTTCTAGTTCCTCTTATATATTCGTTCGAACTTTCGTGGTACCGATGTTAATCATCTCGGCTCCACTATCAACACACACCAGCATGGAGCTACCCCAAAATTAAGGAGTTGGATGAATGTTTATACTCGCTGGCGCAGCATGTCTTTAGATGAAATACTTGGTGCATTTTCCCCGGGTTCTTCTAACATTAGAACTTGGAGCCGTTATTACGCTTCAAGTCTCTTCGTTTTCATTCCGAGTATATAGTTTTTATTCTCAGTATATAGTTTTCAGTCTCAGTACATCGATTTCATTTCTATTTGTTTATAAGTTGGAAATGGTATATACTCCAAAATGACCTGCTAAGCATCAAGCTCGCTGGTCCTGTATATTTCCAAAAGGGTTAAAGGTTTCGGTTGGTCCATTAACATCGCATTAAATTTGGGGTTTCTTTCTCTATAGGCTTGTTTGAACTTCACAAAGAGTTATCTTTTGTTAGAACTTGAAAGAACTTGGAGATGGAATAGAATACTTCTTCTGATTAAACAAATTTTCTCCTTCTCTATGAAACATATGCAATGAGACATATGATGAGTCTTGATAGTTGGTGATGTCAGGCTGGTGTATTTTTCCCTCCCTTTTATTTCCTACCACATCCAAGAATTACATGTCGTAAGAATAAGCATGTGGAGATACAAGCACCAATTACTAAATCGGCGTACCACTAATGCGAGTACGTAACCTTATAACCTTGTGCTTACCTTTTGTAGACATTACATTAGTCTCTTTCAAGGTGTGGGGAGTTAACTTGGTAACGACAAGGATAAATACGAGTACGGAGTACGTGATTTGAGATGAGGTTTGAGATGAACTGGATTGCAATCGCTTGAGTTTTTGTTAATGATAGGGGTACATTTGGGAACCGAGATGGTTAGAGATGGTCAACCACATAATGTCACGATAGCATTGATTAGTTACTAACGTTTGATGTCGTCCAGATTGACTTCTAAATGTTTGATAGTCTCATAGTGTTATGGGAATTCTCATCTCAACATGTAGAAGGTCTGTGTGTCAATTATCATCTAATCTAAGATATTCTAAACATCACTTATTATAGACTTAAGTCTGCAATGCCAATCTTTGAACCCGAGCTCGAACATTCCTCTGCTATTATCCCGAAGCCCTGGCGCCGAATCAGGGGTATTTCCAGCTGAATTGGTGGAGATGGTGTCTAACAAGTAACACACATTATGAGCCAATCAGATCCTCGCAAACTTCCTGCTGGTATAAAGATATCGTCTTGGAAATTAAAAATATATGCCTTCTGTTGTACTCGTTGAACTTACCATTTCAGTAATCAAGGTTTCATAATTATGTACTGGATGATTGGTAGTCGATTAAGTCTTTTCAGATTTTGCTACCTCTAGAAAATATAATTAGGTGAAAAGGGTGATGTACAAAACTCAGATGATTCATTTTACTTCTGTATCAAGAGTGTGTTCACGAATGTTTTTATTCCCTACAAGTACCATCATCTTCCATGAATGGACTGCTACGAAGTCTGGATATCACACGCCTATTAAAAAAATAACCGTACAGCCCTTTTGCTTCCTCCCGCCAAAGCGTAATGCTCAGCCGGCCTACAAGGAGTCATCGTCGACCACTGCCATAAGATCTAGTCTTCCAAATAAGATATCTTTCGCATCTCACCCAACCTCTTCCTTGCCGCCGACAAATTGTTTTCGAGTTGTAAGATTTCAACCTGTGAGCTTAAACGTTAGTAATAATCCAAAGAAACTTTTGTACAAGGGAACTTGCCTGCTGCTCCATTTCTCTGACTTTGAACTCATGCGCCCCAAGCTTGGCATAATCTTCTCCTTCAACATCTTGATCTCGATCTTTGATCATGCTCTGCACTTGTCTGACAAGAGTCCTGCAGGCTGCGCCAACAGCCTTACTAGCTTGCTCCAAGCTCTCTTGGCTCTTGCTCATGAAACCGGCTTTGACTCTGCTAGCAGCGACCAGCTGAGCTGTGGAGGCTGCAACATCATTGGAAGCAACGATAAGCTGTTCCGGACTGTTGCGCCCAGAAAGAACTCCATCTGCAGTCTCAATCAATGTATTGGTTGATGTTGCGACTGCTTTGGCGGCAGAGATGAGACCCTCAGTCCATCGGTTGTTTTTCTTGTAGAAAGCTGTCTTGGACGACGAGCCACGACCAGCCTGAACAATTTCTTGTTGAGTAACAGTAGCCGCTTTGATCAATCTGGCAATAGCATTTGTAACTGCAATAGCAGCATCAAGTATTGAATCGTGTATCTCAAGTTTGTATGTTGAGTATTGATCCTTGGGTTTGGACTTGAGCTTTGCTAGACGTGCAGCGGCAGCAGCGATTGCATCAGCGGCCTTGGTAAGCTCGTTGTCAACCAAATCTCCCAAGTCTCCTTTATTGTTCGTAAGTTTACCGCTATTTGGCGCAAATGTGTCTGCAAGTTTGTTCAAGCGTTGCAGATGGATTTGTACCTCATTGTTGCTATTGATTACAACCTCAGTTCGTTGCATTGGATCCATGCCATCAAGTCGGAAACTTTGCAGGGCACGGAAAAATGTAACAGTAGACTGCGCTGATTGGCGCGCACCATTGGTAAGCTGGTCGGCCTTCTTGTCGTCTGTCGCAAGCCTTGTGAGACCCTTGGTATTGCTAAGTACGTCGGAAATGGAGCTGGCAAAGACGTTGATAGTTCGAATGATTTCAGCATGAGTACTGTTTGGACCATCCGCTATGAAATTGTTGAATGCTGTGGCGAATTCAGTAGCACTTGCTGAAGCTTTTTCAATTTGCGAAAGGACATAAGATGGGGTTGCATTCTGGTTACCAGCTTGCATAGTGGAATCAAGCTCGTAAATAGCGTCATCAACACGTTGAACTCCACTCTGAAGCACTGAATCGATGATGTCGTTGATTTTGTCAATATTTGAGAGGAGCATAGCGTCAATCTCTCCATCTAAAGCCTGATCAGTGTCGCCTTTCGACATCTCGAGCTCATTGAGTCTGATCAGTGCATCGTCCAAACTTTGCTTGTAAACCTCCAATTCGTCCTCCTTATCCTTGAGCAGTCTTTCGGCATCTGAGCCACCTTCGCTGTATTTGGCTTGAACATCCTGTAACGCTCGGGTCTTGTTGCGAAGAGCCTCCTCGAGATCTGCCATTTCACGATTGTACTTGGAAAGCATTGTGGACAATTCATTGCCTTTACTTCGCTCCAAATTGTCCGCACGATCGAGAGCCATACGAAGCTCGCGCTTAAGCTTTTCAACTTCCTCCCGATTTCCACCGGTGAGACGGTCTTTCTCATGTAAAGCTCTATCCCTTTCTCTGATCATATCGGCGAGCTCAAGATTCTTGGTCTTGATCTCTCGCTCCAACTTTTCCCGCTTGTCGATTGCTTCCTGAGCTGAAGCTGCCTTCAGCTGAACACTCTTGAATCTTTGAAGTAGGTCGAGATGTTCGTGTCGCAATTGTGAGTATAGCTTCGCGAGGGCTTCATATTTAGTCCTCCAAGTGTTGACTTGCTCTTGTAAAGCTTTGATTTGATCCTCTTTACTTCCAATCTGTTGCCCATAACTGTTCTGCAGCTGCGTAAGCTCATTCTCTAGTGCCTTAATCTTCTGATCAAATTGTTGTAGCACAAGCTGATCCCTTGCGTACTGTGCTCGAGCCTCAAAGTTCTCCCGTTCGAGCTCCGCCAGACGACCATAAGTTTGCTGTTGAGATTGTTGCAGCATCAATTGTTCTTGCTCTCGTCTTTGCTGCTCAGCCAGTTGACGCTGCTGTTCTTCATAGTTTTGCTGCGCTTGAAGTTGTGCTTGTTGTTGTGCTAACATTTGTTGTCTTTGCTGCTCTGCTAGCACTCTCTGTTGTTCCTCATACTCCCTGTTTTGTCGATCCTGTTCACTCTTCCAGAACTCGCCAATTTCATCTGGCTCCTCCGTCTTAGGGGGTTTCGGGGGTGTAATTTGCCTCTCAATCTCTTGCTTCGGTCGCTGAGGTAATTTGGGAGCCGAATCGTCTTCGGAAAGGAGATTGGGTGGATCTTGTGGTAGCTTTGGCACAGTAATCAAGCTCGTGAGGTATCGGAGGTTAGAGCATTCGTAATAAAACTTTACAAGGCGGTGATGTTGGGAATCGTACTTTTCTCTCAGGGGCGCAAGAGCATCTTCATCGCCAGTTGCTGCGGGTCACGTCAGAATACGACAGTTAAATGTGGGCTTCCTAACATACTTGTGTGCATAGCCCGTAACATGCTCGTGATGAACTTATAGATTCCATAACTCTCTTGAACCAATGGAACCAAGGCCGATATTCTGCATTCATTGTGGCCTCCATTTCGAAAATGCGCAAAAATCAGTTTCTGAAACCTTTCGATCTTATCCTGCAAAGTCATAAGATCTGAAATGGTTTCGTAACCTTCATTTGGGTCGTTAATCCCCTTTAAACTAATGTACTCCTCGTATTCAAATGTTCCATTAAAGTCAGGATGCTGTTGGTGGAAATTCAATTTGGACATCAAAAAGTTGACATATTCTTTTATCAGAGGTCCATAACCCCGCATACCTTCGCCAGACATGCCTCTATTCAAACTGTCGAGCCAACTTCGATTCGCCATAGCTTCACGCAAAGTCGATGGATGACCCTCTTGCAAAACTTTGTGAACGGTAATCAACGCCTTGAATGTTTGGACCTCATCTGCAAGAATGGGTTGCCTGTAAAAACGATCTGAAGTTAGTCATTCCCGTCTTTTTCCAGATCAATGAATCATTGGAACCCCATGAGCTTCTAACGCCCGGTAGGGTGTCTTTGCAATACATGTACAAAAGGGTTTAGACTGACACTTTCATACCAGCCCAGAAGGCACCCGAGCTGTTATGGTCCCATGTATAAACAATACAGCTACGAACATGTTTGCGTTTCGGCGCGGTCTCCTCGATGCTTGTAGCTTTCCGAATATTGATCGCAAGTTCTGCCT